GCCATATTGTATCTTTTACAGATGTGAAAGCCAAGAAATTGTTTTACAAGTTAGGCACAAAACTTTTAAAAATCTAAGTCAAATTTCATATTCCTTAATAAATGAAAAGGTTCATACTATCAGGAAATAATAATAATTCAAGTATACATACTCAAAGAAAAGAAAAGAAAAGAGAACACAGACTAGTAATTCTTTGTGCACTACTCCTGAAAATTCCTAGGTCAAACTACTTACAGACTGCTAAGCTTTAAGAATCTCCAATGGATTCCAAGACAAACCTGGGAGTCGGGGTAAAACAACAAGTAAATTTACCATTACTTACTATTCAATATCCTAAAAAAGTACAGCTTTGAGGGTGCATGCAACACTGAACTGGACATCCCACTGAAATATTTGTTGGCAATGATAACAATTTAAATACCATTATTGCAAATTATATCACAATATACCTTCACGGAAAGATATATATACATCAAAATAATATTTTGTACTGCTGAGCACTAAAAGAAATACTTTTCGTTTTGGACTAGGCTTCGACTGAAGTTTTTATAATATCTAGTGTTTTACAGCTGGATTACTTGAATGTTATTCCATGCTTCCCTTTGTAGTAATAAATACTATCAAGCAAGTAACAATATCTTCAGAAACAGGTTACATTTCCTTAGAGGTACATGCAAATCAGTAACTACATTAGATTACTAGCACAATTTTGTGTTGCTAGGCAACAGCCTTTGGCTAATCAGTAGAGGCTTTACAATATCATACATACATTTTACATGATACATGCAATATCTCAAGCTACTAAAATGATACACCAGCAAATTACTTCATTGCTGGCAGAGAACCGGATGAAACTTGTAGTACCGTTTGTTAGTAGAGACGCAGCCACTCTTCATTCAATTTTTCAAAATCTTCCTCAGTAAATACAGATTTCTCTTCTGTAGTTTTCTTTCCTGGCAGAGAGTCTCGATTTACAGTTTTCCTGTCGAGCTCTTTACTATGCTGTTGCTTGACCTGCAGAATGAGAGGAAATCTTAATTACCTGAGGTAAAGACCAGAAAGAGGAGGGAGGAGGAGAAAATGTTATATGACATTCTACATCTACATCTAGTACTGTCAAGTAAACTCCTACTAGTCACACCCACCACATTATCTACATATCCTCCTTTCCTTAACCCAATGCCCCTAGGAAAATGTATTTAGTATTGATTTGTTAAAAGTTTCTGCACATAGATGGCTCTACTATACTTAGCCACAAAGGATTCAATTAGTATATCTTGTGATCTCACCTTTCCTTGATTTAGCAGAAAAACACTTTTTTTTACTAATGCTATTAACCCAATGAAAATGGGAAAATGTTATGTTCACTTTGGTATCGTTTTGTTAAATGTTTCTCTAACTAGATGGCTCTACGAGTGCTTAGTCACAAAGGAGTCAACTATTAGATCTTATGACCTCGCCTTTCCTTGAAATGGCGGGAAAACACTTTTTTTAAATATTGATATCAATGTCGAGACTGTTATTTTTGTTACAAACATTGGGATTACTCTAATGTTATTGACATTACTAACAGCAGTATTAAATACTAGAAAATATTACCGAAAATCAAGGAAAAGGGTAAACAGGTGAGACAGGTAGTTCTTGTCATTGGCTCATTAGTGACTTAGTACTTGTGGAGCCATCTATATGTAACAACAATTACTAAATTAAACGAACAGTGGGTAGGGTCCGTACGCACATGCCATCCCCACAGGCATGTATCTGGTTAAGTCAGTCGTGCAGTTCTGGTTCCTGCCTTTTTTTCTCTTGTGAAGAGAATGCAAGAGGTGAAAATGGTAAATTTGGTATGATATATCTCATCAAGCTAATTCCATATTCCTCCACTCCATCATTCTCTCTCAGCAAACTGTTGTATTAATATTTATAATATTTATCCCCCCCCCAAAAAAAAAAAAAAATACAGTAGTGCATTATTCCGTCTAAACTGTTGTATGTTGTTTCATAAAATCATTTTTATTGTCATCTTAACACCTAGGTATTTAAATATATGTTTTATTGCAGTATATGATAATGCTGTTTCACAGTATGGCACGTGTTTTAATTATAATAATTTAATCTAATTATAATTCATAAACTTGCAATAACTTTTTTTCTGATATGTTGGTTCTTGTGCATGTACTGAATGTATGACAGTAAAATATACATCATCTAGAGTATATAATCAATCACTTGCTATGAAATGCCAAAATATGATTTGGAGAGAGGAAGAAAGAAAGAAATAAAAAAAATTGACACCAATCACAATAACAAAAACATTAATAATCCAGTTTGTCTGCGCATTCAGTTGGAGAAGGGACCCAGTTTTTTTTTTTTTTTCCAGTAAGGTTGCAGGCATTTGAAGAGCTCAATCTTATGCACCATACAATGTACTTTTCAATGTTTTATCTCAAATACATTGTATCTGTAGAGCACAATCTAAGTTATCATAAATAACCTTGTGTATGAAAGAAAATAGGGAACAGTTACAATTAATTTCTCACACACACGCACGCACACACACACGCACACATACACATTCACACACACACACTAGCACGCACGCACACCTTTTTATTTTCCATAACAATAAAATGTATATTTTGATGTACTTCTAAGTTTTAGATGAATAAATACTAAAACAACAATATACCTGTAATAGTAATAGTGGATGTACAGGTGGACAGACAGACAGGCACACAAGCACGCACGCACACATACACACACACAAAACTCTCTCTCTCTCTCTCTCTCATCTTCCCTCTCTTGCAAACTCTTCCCTTCCTCCTTCCTCTCCCTCCTCTCTCCTGAGTGTAAATTTTCCATTCCTCCCTCTCTCTCCTGAATGTAAATCAATTTGTGGCCCTTAATACTGTCCTTCCTTTTATATACACACTCTTTTGGTTGCCATACATAGGACAAATATTGTTTACAAAACTTGGATTTCATTCTCTTGCATCAGAATACAAATATATAAATATACAAATCTGCCAAATTCGTTATCTCGCACTCAGGGTCACCAGGCTAGAGAAAGAAAGAAAGAAAGAAAGACAAAGAAGAAAAAGCTGAAAAAAAAGAGAGAAAAAAGAAAGATAAATACCGGTTTAAAGGCAAGGTGGAGACATACCTGGTTCGTATACTTCTCTGGTGCTCTACGTTTATCTATTTTCTTCAGCAACTTGAGATTGTCAGCCGTCTGATCAGTTTGAACATTTTTCTTGTATTCCTCAAGTACACATGCAACCTGAAAAGGATAATTGTAAGTTTGTAAATCATGAAAAGGTTAAAAGATAAAAAGGGAAACAACAAAAAATAAAAATCAAATAACCAAAACAAAAAGATATTCACATGGATGAAATACGATATTCTTTTTGTACATCATTCAAGAATACAAAGATTGCAACAATTAACAAACACAAGAACTAAGAGGACAATTTGAAGAGATTTAAGTGTGTACATTCATTACTGTTGAAAAAGAACATCACTTATCAGTAAAGGAAATCCAGGTAAAATGCAAGCACTCTCGCTCAAACTTCATAACTACCACACATTACTTGCCTTCTTCTGAATCAGCTCCTTACTGGCCTCCTTCTGTTTCTGCTGGGCTCGTTTTTTCTGCTTTGCTGCCCTTTTATACCCGTGACGTTGAGTGTGGATACTGGAAGCCTTGGTATTACTACCAGATTCTTTGTGCTGACTGCTACTTTCTGTTAAATCATGGATGATATGAATAACTTGTATGTTTGTGTGTATCTCTATCTATCTTGGACTACACCGTTAAAAAGACAATCTACAGTAATGAAGGAACTAAGCTACAGTCACAATTTTAGCTAAAGTTATCACAGGGCACAGAGTTTCCTCCCCTTTTTTCTTTTTTTAAGTTTCAATACAATTACAAATTGACAAAATAACTATTTCCCCATACAATTTCTTTTGTTTTATTTTCCCATGCTTCTGAGGTCTAATCAGGGTGTTGCAAGCAATGAGAAGGAAATGTCTATGTTCTTAATAAAATGCTCTAGAATCCATTAGAACAAACATATACTAGAAAATGAGTAAAAAAAAATTAGGGCCTATCTTTCACAGGGGTTTTTCCATCCAAGCAGAAGTATGAAACCTCAGTTAACTCAGTTATGACTATGGGAGCCTATACCTATCCAGGCAGCTCCCTTTACAAAAATCACCTGTAATCAACATAACAAAGATCTCTCCAATGAAATTATTAGAACACAAATCAAAACGTTGATCAATACAAAATATAAAAATCATAAAATATTCAAAGATGGATCTAAAATAAAAGAACCTCTTTCCACATTGGCTGCCTTTTATATCGAGCAAAAGAAAATTACAACAATTTGGAAACTATCGAGGAATACACAAATTTTAGAAGCTGAACTATATGCCATAAAATAAGGTCTGAAATACAAAGAAGTCAATAACCTTGCAAACTGTGATCTTTACAGATTCTCTTTCATCAACATTAATATTGCAAAACCACAAACCCAGCAACTACAAACAAATCCCATAAGAAACACAAAAACAATTTACACTTTAACACTTCGAAATCGCAATGTTAAAATACAATGGATTCCAGTGCATAAAAACATTTTAGGAAATGAAATAGCTGACCTTGCGGCAAAGAAAGAGGGAAGAACAGATAAACAAAACTCTGATCACAAAAAACTATCACCTTAAAGACAACATCCTACAACCTTGGTGCAGATCTGAAAACAGAAAACGAGACATCTATGTCACAAGAATCCTAACTAAGCATACAAGACTAAGAAAACATCTACAAAGACTAAAACTTGACACCGGCCCAAGATGCAGATGGTGCTAACACTCAGAAGAAATGATTGAATATCTAACTCTACAATGCCTATGATCCCACTCACTAAAACAAATAAAAATAACAAATCCTAATATCTCTTTACTCATAACAGGAGATAATCACCCACAGGTTAAGAGGTACTATATCCTAAGACACATGAAGATCTTACAAAGATCAAGAATATTAAATATCATTTGAAACAGAGAACATCACAAGAAACAATAAAAGAAAATCTTCAGACAACAGTTAAAAGACTCCAGGAAACAAGAACCAGGGAATATAGACACAATAAGTCTAAAATCCTATAAAAGAAGAAAGAGGAAGAACATAACAAACTAAACTAAAGATTTCTCACCAGCAATTGTGAGTTAAGAATGAAAAATTTTACTAAAACAAAACAAACATGGAAGAGCAATTATCAACCATTTCAAAAGTATAATTCTTACTTGTGCATCATAGTTTTCAAACTAATTTACCTATTGCAGTAAGAAGTTACACTATCTCTACGGGCCTTGACACTGATATGTAAACACCGTGACTAACAGTGGTCACAGCAAGATGGGTAAATGCTAATTGCAAGCACAATATGAGCACATATTTTTTTTCACTTTCATGCTATTCCTTACATGACACAAAACAGGAATAAATAACTTTCTTTAAAATATAACATGTCAATCTCCAGAATAGTACACCAGTTTTTTTCTCACATATACATTCAGTGTTCAGTCCAAATCTACTTGAAACTTGATATAATCTGTGATTGACGGCCTATAATCTGAACTCCAATATGCTGGTAGCACAGCGGCCTTGAGCACTAACAGACAGAGATTGTGCTGATTGGTGTAAGATCACTGGGTGAACTGGTGCTGTATTTTAATTTTTTACAGTATCTTGTTTACAATTTACATTAACTACTAGAAAGACAATTTATTTTTTTAGTTTATCAATCTATATATATTCCATGTACTGCCCACCCTATACCAGTGGATTGTCTAAATCTTGTATTTGACCAATGAGTCAACAACCACAATGCTGCTACAATGATTTGTGAATTTGCCTTGTTTATTGATCTGATCAGTGCACACTGTGTACCAGGTTCTTTAGAACAGGGCTGCATAAAGTGACACCATGGCTTCTGTACTTCAGCAAAAGCCAACAAACCTCCTCCCCCTTATATACTCAGCAAAACAGTGATGTCAGCTTCTCTATTTGGCAATAAGGTTTGATGAAGATGCATGACAATCTGTGCAGAAGATGACAATCATCAGAAATGAAGAAATTAGGTACCGACGAATGCCATTTGGAAACTAAGTTCACTGTTGTCTAGATTAGAAAGTTAAATCGGCCACACACCTAAATTCCTTGCCGTGCCATATAAACAAGATGGTCTTTCCTAGTACTGTATTTAAGAGAGTTTTTCATAATGGGCTCTCAGACACTTGCGTGTCCAATAGCTTCGTTATTTTTGAGGTGCGGTTGAAGTATATTCAAATTAAGTTTCTTAGAATCACTCGCTCTTTCATTTGCATATATTATTTTTCATCTAAAAGGCAGCTGTATTAAACTTAATCTGACCAAATCACTTGCTATATCGTTTGCATATATCACTTATTGTATATAAGGTGGCTGGCTGGAAATTTGCCTGTACCAGAACTATTGCTGCGGAAATTGAAGTGCAGCATAATTCCCCCGTGTAATTTGCGAACTTTCCAATCTGAACAGTGATTGGGTGGGGTCTGGGGCAGAGCCCTCAATAGGGAACTACATCACACAGGTGGAGGTCTGAACGCGAAGTTTCTCGGTTTACACTGTGATGTTTCCGTTTCCAAAGAGTGCCTGAATTCACTTTATAAACAATTCTCAATACTTTCACTTATATCACTTGCAATGGAAAACAGCCACAAATTCATTCACATTGCACCATGAATAACTGAACTAAGAAATAAGAAATAATTGCAAAGTGCAACTAAAAAAAATGCCAACACCCAAGTGCCATGAAGGCCACTAAGCCTTATCAGCCAGGCCTTTGGTGGGGTTTGTTGGCCTTCAGAGCACATGCACAGAGCCTAAGGTATTACTGATCTATGCTTTGCAACCATAGATTCGCATCCCTTGGCGTGCAACTGAGCTCTTACCTTCACTTACAAGATCATTTCTTCACTCCCACCAACAGTCCACAAAAAACAAGGAAGTCTCGAGCTGAAAAGGGGACCCACCCCAACCGAGCCGCAAATCCGCACGGGAGAATCTGCTCGCATCAAAGAGGGTGATTTCCCACGCCGCAAAATAATTAATACAACCCACTGACGTCACCCCAGGGCCTCCCCAGCAGACAAGTGTTCGCCTCCACACCTGCAGAGGAGAGGCACCTCCCCAGGACGTGCAGGCAGCACCCTCACCTGGCAAATCACAGTCAAACAGCTCCAAGCCCCTGTTGACAAGTGCCCAGGACATCTCAGAGGAAGAGCTCTCTGTTCGCCGTCGTCACTGATCGATCTGGTCGCCTCCCCCGTCTGCCTAGCACCTCCAGGGACCTCGAGTTAAAGCCTGAGCGAGCGGCGGTGGCTTCTCGGTCCTCGCTGCGGCTCCTCCATGCTGGCTCCTCGTGCGGCTCAGGGGGACCCGGACCCTCGCGCGGACCGGAATGCTGCGCGAGATAATTTAGAGGAAAATCAAGGTTTCCAATCTGTTTGAGGGTCTGTAACTCATGGATGACACTAAACAAATCACGTCGCTCCTGTCACAGAAAAGCCAGCTTCCTCTGATGACTGAATGACCAAAATGGGAGCATGATATGAATGCAAATATCTAGTCCTCGCTGCAGGATATGCAGATCTTTTTTAATATAAAACTCTGATAGGGAAGTTGTCAATCTCGCTTCAGTATTTTAATAAGGCCACGAATTTTATAACCGAGGATGTTGGGAGTAACATTAAAAATAAATGAATACTGCTGGTATATCTTTATCGTCATCAGCATATTTTTACATCGATCGCCATGAGAAAGACGCATTATTCATTATCTTTCTGCTGATCATCATTAGGTTTTGCTACATTTTCGACCAGTGGATGTTAGAATCTTTCATTGCATCATTGGGTAAACCTCAAAATTATTTACCAGAACTATTTATCACAGATAGTCGCGAAATAATAATGCGCAAGAATATGAATTTAATTAGGGAAGTTGGTTGGTGATTACTAATTAGGGGATATGGAGAGTGGTGGGTGTGTGTGCGTGGCTGGGGAAGGTATCTTTAAACGTTGCTTAGAATAGATCTGTAATACGTATTATGTGAAGAATTGGGTCCATGCGCGCAGCCAGTATCTAACGAGGCTGCTATATTTTGAACTCCATCCCCCAAAAGAGGAAATAATAAATAAATAAATAAATAAAATTGAATAAAATCCTAAGCGTCTGTAGAAGTCACAGGAATTAATAAGTCCACGGGTCAGTGCGTGGTGTCACGACCGAGTTTTATTACAGCCGCGGATCCAAAGGGGGTGCACCCGGCGCGAGATCCTCCTATTTTTGGGCATATTTTTTTGGCCGAGCTCTTAAACGAAACAGCTATACCAATAAGCATATATAATCATCTTCATTTTTCAGAATTTCCTGTAGGTGGGCCTCAATAGTTCCTGCATTGCACTTCCCGCGACATGGGCAATTGTGATTGGGCTCTGACCACCATTTTTGTCCCCTTCCTTCCTAAAATCTTGGATCCGCCCCCGAATATCGAACTAATTTACATATTGCAAACTCCTTCCATGAGGCGTACTGTATACATATGTTAACACCAGGGACAGCGTTCACTCAGTGTATATTTCAATACACGTGAATTTGTCAATTAATTGCAGTGTTGGTGGTGATGAGAATGCAAGTCGCAGGTACTCTTCCGCAAGGCAACCAACTACACAAAGTTGCAGCTCCTAATATTCCTACATTAGGAACGCAAGAGAGCGCTGGGCCAAGCAAGTTAGAGCTGGATTTTAATTCCCTAGATTAAATCGGGGACGAACTGACCCGATCTGGATCAGAGGACAGGAATGTAGCATACCTCACATCAGAGGTTTTGTTGAATAATGTAGATGACGCACGAAGTTTGCAGGCTGTAGTCATGTATCAGAGAGAAGAACCATAACATATTCAGTGACCATATGATGGCATCGACATTCGAATGTTAGAGTCAGTATGCAGAGGAGGCCGCACCCATTCCGTTAACGCCATTGGCAAACATATCCTACTGGACGTGGCCACTTAACTTCTACCCCTTGAGCTGGTAACATTGCTTAACAAGTGTACAGGTACCACATATATATCAAGGCCCGGGCGATGATAGTCTTCGCAAATCACTGAACTGGTTACTATACAGTGAAATAACGCATTGATACCTTTAATCAAGCAGATATTTTTGTAATGCAAATATTCCGCTATAAATCTTGAATACACTAGTGGAAAGACTTAACATTATACAATGAAAGCACGCATAAGTAGAAATATGAATATTTCTAACATTTTAAGTATGAATATTTCTAAAAAATATCCTCACTCATTTTTCAAACTATAAAAGGACGGTTTCTAGTATGAAATATTATCATGATTACAATGGACACACACACACACACACACACAAAAAAAAAAAAACAATGGCAGAAGCAAGGCATGGGTAGAGTCAGATATTGCAAACTACCCCTTCCTACTCATCCTATGATGATGTGACCTATGTATAGTGTACTGCAAGATCTGTATAAGTAACGACTCGTCACAGAGCTACTCACATACGTCTTTCTTGCGCATGACGTCACTTGGTGTCATAGGGAATCTAAGACGGCGTCACTACTCAAGCATATTTGAGTATTCCGCTCAATATTGTCCATATTCGTAACTGGCGGCTTTTAGCACCTGCTTCCCGCTTCTGTTTGACTTGTGCTTTTGTGAATGTTGAATGCGTTTTTGCATTTCTGTTCGCCATTGTTTAGTGGAGAGTGTCCGTGGTGCCATTAAACACAGCATTTCTTGCATCGTTGACAATTTTTTCTGAGATAAACTGTGACCTTGTGCATTGCAAAACACCATCATACAATATTCAAAATAGAAACTTTATACTTTATATCTCTATTTTCATCATATTTTCTCAGGGGTGTAAATATTTTGATATAAAGGGGTAGATAGTATACATTACCAAAAAAAATCAAGACTTGGCAGCCATTGCCTATACTGAATATTGGCATGACACTGACTTCTCTTTTGAAAACACGGAATGGTAGGAAACACCCTGCGTGTGGGTGGGTGTGAAAGGCACAGTGGCTTCTTAAGCCTCGCAAATCTCCGTCTTGCCAATCCCACATCCCCAGTGGTATTTCTACCTCCTCTTCCTGTCATATATGCATATGTATATATATGTATATATATATATATATATAATGTGTATCGTGATGTGTGTGTGTGTGTGTGTGTGTGTGTGTGTGTGTGTGTGTGTGTGTGTGTGTGCGTGTGTGCGTGTGTGTGTGTGTGTGTGGTGTGTGTGTGTTGTGTATGTATGTATGTATGTATACTTACACACACACACACACTTATATATGCACATATATAATATTTATCGTATTTAAATTATATGTATAACTCATATATGTTTATAGCATATCTATATACACACACACCACACACACACACACACACGCACACACGCACACACACACACACACACACACACACACACACACACACACACACACACACACACACACACACATATATATATATATATATATATATATATATATATATGTATATAATATATTATATATATATATATATATATATATATATATATATATATATATATATATACATACGTACATACATACACACACACATATATATAACGACATAGGTAATTCTTTCAAAGAGGAAAATAGCACGTCAGTAAGATTTTACATGCGGCAAGTCACTCCAGGATTCAACACAGAGGTGAACATGAACCTGACCTTATGTTGTTGTCTCGATGTGTTCTAGGATCGTTTAAATGTTTTGATTTTTTTCTCGATTTACGTCAGTATTCTGTGTCAAACTGGCATATATAAAACAGCATTGTATCAAACTGGCATGTATTTAGAGGCATTGTGTGAAATTGGTATACATAAAAACGCATTTTTTCTACGCATTTTTCTAAATTTCATTATGGTTGGATGTCTCTTCTGTTCATATATCCAATCACAAGATAAAATCAGGTAGGATATTTCTGGTAGGCAAGATTAAAAGGGCTCGAACTTGAAAAAGAAAGAAAGAGAAAAAAGTAATGCGTCCACGTTTACGAACTTCTTTTCTTCAACGCAAAAATATCAAGTGTTACAACTGGATGGAACATGATGGGTCAACTTTGGTGTTGGTATTCGCATGTCACACAGAATTCTTTGCTCATTACATTTAGGTATTTTTTGGTCAGCTGGATCTCATGGATGTGATAAGAATTTCCATCTATGTACGAAAAAAAACAACGACATCCTAGTTGAAATAATGGATTAGTTTAGGTTCTATATTCTGAGATGATAACGTTGCACCACCCAATCGATGGTTTCAGAGGGACGACCTTGTTGTGGTAATATGGCTGTCACCCAATTTCTAATCTATTTTCTCCTAGGAGTCGATGAGTTTGATTCACCTTCCCTATTTCAGTGAAAATGTTGTGTTTGTAATAGAAAAGGCCCTTTTATGTATTTCCACTTACACTTCTGTAAACTGAAGCATACGAACCGAAGCGTCCCTGGCAGTAACATGTTATCAGAGTGTAGGTTCACATAACTGGAAAATGCATCCCATAGCACCTCATCCCCCTATTCATTGGTGTCTGCATTAGCCATATATGCGAGGTCACAGCCGAGGGTACAGATTATGAAAACCCAATTAAGGGGCATAGTGGGAGACCGGGAAACGGACGCGTCATTCAAAATATATAAAATGCATTTTCATACTTGAAATGCGGCGTGCCCGGAATGGCATCGATGAAGCCATTGTAAGCTGCGTTGAAACAGTGAGGGAGAAGCAGCGAAAACATCGGAGAAAAAAACAAAATCGAAATGAATTACAAGTAGTAGCTTGTAACCCTGCTTGTCCCAATTCTGCCCCCTTCTTTACCCTAGCACAAACCTGCCGGGTGTGAACTGAACCATTTCAGAGGTCTGTAAGAACCTCTGGAAATTCGACTATGATTACTATTGCAACCTTTACACCAGTGTTTCTCAGATTTTTTGGGGTGCGACCCTAAAGACAGTCTTAACCTGGGCTAGCGACCGTAAATGTGTTAACATGTAGTAATATATCCAACCATTTTCATGGTAGTTATACTTGTAGATGTATGTTAGCTGACTTTATTCTACACTCTTAAAGGTTTATATTACCAGTACATTGAATTTCAATAAACAAGTGTTAATGAAAAACACTCTTTTACTGACATATCTTTTATTCTTCTTATAAGACCCTTGGTTGGGAACCATTGCTTTACACGGCCATTTCCCCTCAAGGACGCATCGTCACCATTGCTCGAAACCTTACAGGAGAAACTGAAAGTGTGAAAAAGCGTTCAGAAGTTAGGACAAGGAAACTTTTTCAGTCAAGCCACTTTGGGGGACGGGGGCAT